TGGGCGAAGATCGTCCGGAGCCTGTGACCATAGCAGATGCTCGGCGGCCTGGCGCAAGTTCCTCTTCGGGAGATACCTCGGCAGGCGGGTCTAGTCGTTGGGCGCTGGAGAGGCGAAGAGGGGAGGCAGTCGCACGGTCTTTGGCCAGAGTATCCTGGAACTTGGGCTGCGGCGGCGGGACCTGCGACTCGCCGGCCGAGGTCTTGCGTTCCATACCTGGGAGTTGTGCGCGCAGGGAAGACATATCGAGCGTCTCTTGATCCTCAACCTGATTTTTACGGTAGGCGGCAGAGCCGAGACCACGGTCGGCCGTCTGTCGGAACCATGTCGGATCCCTGGAACCAAGAGCCTGGGCAATCTGGTCCTTGGTAAGAGTCTGCTCAGTTGCTGAAGCGGGTGCTTGCTCGGATGGGGCCGTGGAGGATGTTCTGGCAGCGTTCTGGGCAGCGAACATGGACAGCGGCCTCGTCTTTGGCTTTTCTCCGGCCTGCGAGTTCGGGCGCCTCTGCCATGACAGCGGCCTCGGACCGCCAATGCCGGAAGGTGAGGAAGGAGAGTTCATGCTGGAATTTTGCTCGTCGGTTTCGGCGGGCGGGGCGTTCTCCTGGGCTGCAGCGTCTGTAGCTGTGGTTTCAAGCTCGGGCGAGGTGACGGCTGCACGCGATTGCGGACTGCCGGTGTTTTCGGTTGCAGGAGTCAAACGGGGCCCGTCAGCGAGTCGTGAGGTGGTGCTGTTGCGATGCGAAGAGGGTGGTGGGGTATTGGCGGGAGATGACTTTTGGGGAGAAATGGATCGTGCGCGTTCTGTCAATGCGAGCCGTCAGTCAAGTCAAGGAAGGGACACTGGGCAGCAAAATAGAAATTGAAGCTCTGGCTCTGGCTCTGACTCTAGGCGTCGGTCCCCATCGGAAAGGGTAGCCAGGGAAACGCATGTGGGTTGTACGCTCGCTGGTCGTTGAATTGGGTTTTGCTTGTTGTTGTCCACACCAACGTGGCGTGCAGCCAGGATGGAGCTGGGACTCAACGAGCGAAACGACGCCAAAGCGTTTCCATGTGGACAGGATGCGTGGTCGAAGGCAATGGATGGGTCACAGACGGGTCAGAGGAAAAAGAAGAAGAGGGGGGAAGAAACATACCGGCGCGGCGAGCCTGGCGTTCTCGTTTCTCTTGCTGGATCTTCTCGTCAAGCTCTCTCTGTCGCGCATCATCCTCCTCTGTGCGTCGCGCGTTCATCTCCTTGACATCCTGCAAAAACTTGGAAACGTCGTCCATGGCTACTGGTGGCAAACCCCTAGGTTGGGAGCATTGGACGCAGCGGGGGTGTTGAGGGCTGTTCTCTCGGTCGACGGTGATAGATGTCGTGACAAGGCGCTGACGATAGCAATGGACAATGGCAATGGCGATGACAGCGATGGAGATGGCCCGTCTAGGGATAGCTCGTGTTTTTCGATGCTTGTAGTACCTGGCTTGCCTGGCTGGACGCCAATGACTAGTGGTTCGGTGGGAGGATGTGAGATCGTCGTCATTTGTTGATGTTCTGCCTAAGCCGGGCCCTTGTCTTGCTTTCCCTTGGCGACAACATGAGCCCACCCACAGGCCGTTGACCTCCACCTCCGTGAGCTGAGACGCTACAACGCTACAATGGGTGGGGCCTCTCAGCAGCTTTACAGTGAGTGGATAGCGCCTCAGTCTTTGTTCCAGCGCCTGCGGCCTCCACATTACCTAACGTAGGCACCTATAAGGTAGGCTTACCTTGGCCCAATTCTCATGCCACTCCTCGGGTTCCTCGACACAGCAGTCTACCATTGCACGGCGTTAAGCACGCTGTTATCATGATCTTGTCTAGTGAATGGGCTCTAGATTGGCTTGAGCCGATCCGAACTCAAAATCTAGTGAATTATGGTGTCTTCGTGAGTTTGTCTTGTCTTGTTTTGTTTTGTTTTGTTTTGTTTGGCTGTCAGCCTTCGCTCTGTGATTCCTTTATCGCGCAGCTCTAGTCGGTCACCCCATCGATGTTCTTGACACCCACGACGACTCCATCAACCCCACTCGCTGCCTGCCTCGGGGGTCCATGTTCCCCTCTGTGGTAAGGTAGGTACCTATCTCCACCGAGATTTCCTACAGCAATGTGCCTCAGTAGAGAAACAGCCGCTTCTTCGCATCGTCCACTACCCATGCCAGGCCCTCTTTCAGATTCGTCCCTGTCATGGCACTACATCGAAGGACGTTCCACCGATGCGTTCGTATCGATTCCAACTGAAGGCCCTTGAAACTTGTCAAGACTCGTTCGATCACTTGTCGGTCACATGGCAACATACCTCAAGAATCTCTCGTTCGTTCATGCACCCGCCAACATCAGTCTTGTTCGCAAAGACGAGGAGGCTCGCTCCGGAAAGGCGCTGTTCGTGTCAGTGAACATGGTTTGCATGTATACCGGGGTGCCTGACCTCTTCCTGTAGAAGACCGTGAAGCTCCTCTCGGCAATCTTCAATCCTCAGTCGGTCCGTGGCATCGACAACCCAGATGAGGGCATCGGTCTTTTCAAAATAGTTGCGCCAGTATGACCGCAGCGTCTTCTGTCCTCCGACATCCCCTGTGATGGTCAATAGAGGCACCAAGTAGTACAAGCAAAGGCTGGCGCATACAGATGTTGAGTTTGTATCTTTACACTCGTCAGCAACGTCCTTGTCAGAGGCAGCAGACCACTGACCCTTCGTAATCGATCGTTTTGATGATGAAGCCCAGCGTGGGGCTCACCGTATTGACGTCCTCGCCCATGATCTTCTTCACAATCGTCGTCTTGCCTGCGTTGTCCAGGCCCCTGGCCGCGCATCTTTGTCAGCGAGTCTCACTGATCCTGCGTCTGTACTCACAGCATCAGGATCCTCATCTCCTTGTCCTTCAGCCGGGCTTTCCGGAGAATTGACAACATTGTCGGCAAATGTTGTCAAAGGCGACTCGAGCCTGAGACTCGGACGCTTTACTGGTTACCAGGGTGGTCGTTGTATCTGATGAGAGAGTGTGCCAGTCGAATGCAGTGGTATCGCAGACTCCGCACGTGATTTGCAGCAGTCGGTGGGACTGCTGGTTTTCGGTGAAGAATCGGTGACTCGGTAAGAGCCCCTTTTCAGGGTCACAGGCTACTGGCAATGTTTCTCGCGTGCTGTTATTGAGGTTCGTCTTATTTTCTTGACATCGATGAATCTATATTGTACTAGATGTATGATGAAGTCGTATAATGAAGGGCGCACCATTTCCCCAACCGTTTCCCGACTACATGGAGTGCCATGTGGCGTCTTGCCTGATTGCCAATGATGCATACACTAGAAGTTTTTGACATGTTCACCGTCAACCGTAAATCTGATGGTCAAATCTTGAGGCTATATCACCCTGTAACTTAGGGGGACTTCTGGCAAGAACACACTGTACTATCTGGGATCGCGCGTCAGAGGAAGGCACCTAGCCTTGGCTCCTTCCAACAACCCCCGCTGCAACCCGTACTCGGTCCAGAGATTTAATTCGTAACCTTTCCCAACACCTACCGCAAAAGCAACAGCAACAAGCATCCCGCCTCAGCTCCTCATGAGGCTGTCTGTCGACAAGGATTCAAGACTTTTACGACTTTGACTCTCTCTTGCTCTCTCTTCTGACCAAGACGGCCTACGTCGACACTTGCCAGCTCGAGGCCCCCAATTCCTGTCAACACCACGACGTTGGTCTGTTCAAGCAATGGAACGAGACGACGGGAAGGATAGCAAGTGGATGTCTGATGCTGTCAAGCTTCCTACTAGAAATCGTCATCCTCCGGGCCGCCACCCCGTCGACTCCATCTTGATGGTCACCAACAACTGTCAACCGCGCGTGAGCCCCCTACCGCCCGGCCATGCATCTCTGTACCAGGTCAAAGGAGCGATCCCTCTCAATCTTGAATCGCTCTCCCTGACAGACACTTCTTCGCGTCCTCTTCGTCTGACCTCGCAGAACCTCGCTCTTGCCCCTGTCACACGTCGCGTAATTGCTCAGGATATGGCTGCAAAGGACAAAGAGAACAAAACGGAAATTTCCTTTCGTCTCAGCAGCGCTGGAGATGGCGGTAGTCCAGACACGCAAGACGATCAAGTCCTACGTACCGGCGCTCCTCTTGCCGAGAACCTTGCCTTCAAGAACACTATCAACATTGACCGAAGCTGCGACGTCCGGAATGAGATAGGTCCGCCTCACAAGCTAGAAGCTATCGAGGGCGTCATTAATAAGGATCCCTGGATGGGTGAGGGTGATGACGATGCGCATTTCATGTGCCAAAGCTACAACTCACGCTTCATCAACGCCTGGCTATTGAAAGTTCCAGAGGACATCAGAGCAGACTTTCTGGGCGACAGCGACATTGAAGAGCACTCCGAGCACCCCATCAACACCGATACTGGAACTCTGATGGCTCGTGTGGAGCAGCCCGAGTCGACTCGCAACCCCGAAACCCTCAGGCCTGACCACAAAAAGCATGCGGATCGTTGGACGAGCAACTACCATATCAAGAGCAAGATCATGATCCGCGAAAGAGACGCAGCTCTGATGCAGCAAAAACAGGCTACACCTGTTTCTTTCCATGGTTGCGAGTCAAACATACAGCCAGTTCCGCAACGTGAGGTTGCGGTTGATTGCGTACTTCGACCAGCCAAACCGAACGATGTCCCTGGGATCATCGATATCTACAACAGGGAGATCAAGAAAGGCCACCGTGCTCTTGACAGCGAATTAGTGTCGGAGAATGACCTGAATGCCATCGGTAACAGCTGTCGCACACAGTGTCTTCCTTTCATTGTCGCCATGCGCCAGTCGCCTGACCTGACTGACCCATCCGTCTGGCCCAGCAATCTGCCTGGGAAACCTTCATGCAAATGCCTCAAAAGCCTGTTCCACAGCCACCGCTCGTGATTGGTTTTGCCTTCTGCGAGACCCTCAAGGTTGGGTTCGGCAAGGGCGGCCATGTTGGTCAACAGAGCGTCAGGCTTCATGTGTACACCCACCACGACTACCGGCGTAAAAATGTGGGAAGTGCCCTGTTGGATCGAATCCTTACACATATGTCACGCTCGCACATTCCGGACACTACAAAGCACGACTAGGACAATGCTTCCGGAATGAAGCCGTATGACAATCCCACCAGTCGCAGCCGAATGGTCCCCCAGCGTGAGTGTCGTCCCCCAAGGTATCAATCACAGCAATACATGCTGACACAATTTGACCAGGTATCATCATTGAGGGGATCTTCCGTGATGAGAAGGATCCGGAACTCACCTTTATTCGCAAGTGGCTCAACGCCTTCCGCTTTGAGGAGGTTGGCCGAATTCAAGGTGCATATGGCACGAAACGCGGCCCACACAACAGTGAGTGGATGGACCTACACATCTGGCAGCATCAGTCCTGCGAACACGAGCACCCGACTGGCAGTGACCCGGGAGTGTGGGAAGGAGGTCTGCTCGAACGTTACTGAACAGAGGCTCACGAGTGGCTGTACTCGTCAAGACGCTGCGGCCGCCATGTGGGGTGCGCAGTTGTGTATGTACCATCAGGGACAGACAGGCTACCAACAAGTGACCGAGATTGCTTCTTGTAGAGCAGCGGAGGCTGAAAGTAGTATGAACAGCCAAGTAGTGGACACAACGGGCTGGCCAGCGAAGGTTCAATACACGAGGATGCAGGTCACAGTCAAAAGCATAGCACAGGTCTCGAAGCGAATCTTCAGAGCATTGTCGGGTAATAAGCCACCGGTTAGCCGACCAAGACGCCATGATGTACGAGAATCTGCCAGGCGACAATAACTTGTGTGGCCGCTTCCTGGCATCGTGTCGAGCAGCCTTTTCAACGACTATCTATCAAACGTTGGAGGAGGACTATAGAAGGGTGAATGTCCTACGTTTTGAGCCTACACGCACCCAGTTTCTTTACCCCTTTTTCTCACCTACTCGGTATTTTCAGAGTGGTCGTTTCTCAGGCCGCCTGTGCCCAAGAATAAGTTACTTCGCGGACCCTGATAGTATTGGAGGGAAATCGGTCTCCTCAGCGTCAGCACCTAGTCTGAGTCTGTCAAACCGCGGCAATCGAGACCTGGAGCCCGACCACTGTCTTGATTCCATTGAGCCGCTCACACATCTTTCACCATGTGCTGCTGCATTTTCAACTGCTTCAAAAGGCGGTCCAGCGGCAAGCCACCGAGAGCCAAGCCGGCCCTCCCCTGGCTGCCGCCCACGGCAATCCACGACGCGGACTCATGGAGGCCTGTCCAACAACTGAGTGGCTTCTTCGGCCTGCCGTATGAGATCCGCTACGAGATCCTGCGTTTGGCCTTTGGCGATTGCGTCGTTCACATCGACATGCGCCCCGGGCCCGCCTGGCCAGTCATCCGATCAGATGGTTCAGTTGCCGAGCCCGGGTATCGCGCGCGCCGCAGAGTCATATGGAGATGGACCAACGGCTTCTGCCACCGTGATGCGAAATACGAGGACACGCACGACGCCTCGGAAAAAACCTGGCGAGCATGCCTCGACGGCCAGGCCAACTGCTCCGGGCGCGAATACGGGTCGAACAACGGCAAATTCCAGGGCGCCATGAGCTTCCTGCTCTCCAGCAAGCAAAGGTCAGACAGGGCATCAGTCTAACCCCCTCCCGCCCGAAGACCCCGGAAGCTGACCACCCTCGCAGCCACGACGAGCTGCTGGGGATCCTCTACGGCACAAACGCCATCCTGCTGGAGAGCATGCCCTTGATCGAGTCGCTGTGCGCTCCGACGCCCGCCCGCGCGCGGCTCCTCGGACCGGGCATCGAGCTCGTCACTTCGCTCCGCATCACCCTCGAGCTGGCCCTGTTCGACAAGACGTGCTTTTCGCCCGCCGCGTACCACCGCAGGAGGTTCGTCAACATCCTCGACGGTCTGGGCCCCCGGTTCCCCCGCCTCAAGCGGCTCGCCGTCTTCTTCGACAACCGGGCCAGCCTCACAAAGTTTGATCCCTTCAGGGAGATGGACAAGCTGGACCTCCACCTCTTTCGTCCGCTGCTGGCCATGAGCGCGCGGCTGGCCAAGGTCGACGTGACCGTGTGGGTCACCGCGCCGATGTATCAGCTTGCCCTGACGGGGTTCTCGAGGCAGCGTGGCGAGGCGAGGCCGGGGCTGGTTGAGTATCTGATACGTGCTGATCAGATGTGGTATCCGTTCTTCAACAATTGGGACGACGGCCAGCGAGCGGGGGAAGGGTATTGGATCAGGAAGTGGAATGACAAGCCGTGGAAGATCTGCCCGAAGACGGGACGGCGTGGTTAGAACTGGTCTAGTGAAACGAGGATTGATTTGTGATCAGGTTCTGCTTGGCTTTCTCCCAGTAGATCTCGAGTAGTGATCAGTGGTTCTCGTGTGAAAGCATGGGGCAGTGCCGAAGGTTGTCAGGGTGCTATTTATGATCGGTGAACATTCGGACACCTTTGGCTTCCATTTTCCCCAGTCTGGGATGCCCGCTTGTTGTTTTCCACCAGATAAACCCGGACTTGGATCTCAACTTGGCTCTGCTGCGTGAACCGCAGCTCATGTACTCTCCGTGCTGCAAGGCAACATCAATACAAGCCACTAGATGTAGGAAGAACAGCCTTGAGGCGCTGCACCCATAGTACCATCTCATCATCTTCGTCTTGCGCACCTAGAAACGCATGTCATCGGAGTGCGGACATACTGAAACTCTGGGTATATTCAGTCCTGAGATGCCTTTTTCTCCACTCAGGAGCGGCCACCCCTGGCCACTATGATGATAAACAACGATGCAATCCCAAGACACCCCTTCGCCACCCAATCCGAATAAGCTGGCAAGGTCATACAAACCACTAGAGACAATAACAATAAGACTCAACCGACCAGGTTCGGTCCGCGCCGAACCAACAGACACCCCGCCTACGACTCGTCCTCCGTGTCCGTGTTGGTCGCGCTCGTGTCGTCGTCGTCCTGGTCGTCGTCTGTGCCGCTCTCATCGTCCGACTCCTCGACAACCTGCTTCCTCCTCGGCTTGGCGGTGGGCGGTGCGCCCCCCTTGAGAGCGTTCATCTGTCCGGCCAGCGAATCTGATGTACTGTCAGTTGCGTTCGGTTCAGGTGCATGCGTGGACAACGTACCCTCATCAGGCTCGCTAATCTCATCCTCGGCCGCCATGGCGGCAGCCTTGCTCGCCTCCTCCACAACCAGCGTCACCTCCATCTGGGTGTCAAATCCGACGTAGCTGTCACACACGAGGTGCATGACGAAAGTGTAGTGGCCAGCCTGTGGTGGCGCGGCGAACTGGGCCTTGAGGGTCTGCATGTTGAACGTGGGCTTGCCGTCGCTGTCGAAGATGGGCTGGTCGAACTGGGTGAAGTGGAAGGGAGGGACGGCCATCTTGCCCTGCTTTGAGTCGGACAGGAAGACGGACCACTTGGGGGCGTGGTCGCGGGCAAAGTAGGGAGCGTGGGCGAGTGGAGGCAGAACAGGCTTCTTGTCGACGGCGACGGGCTTGCCTTCGGGACCCTTGACGACAGCCTTGGCGCGGCCGAGGTAGGCCTCGAGATCGTCTTCGGCGGGATCAACGTCCTCGAGGTCGAGCTCGTTGACCTCTGGGACGTTCTCGCTGCCCGGGGGGATGATGCGGCCCTTGACGACGAGAGTAACGAGTGAGGAGGGAATGATGAACTTCTCGCCAGTGACCTTGAAGAAGGCCTTGTTGACCTGGAGATGGGGCAGCTGCTTGGCCACACTGACAGCCGTCTTGTACTGCGCGTCGGTCAGGAGACTTTTGCCGACAGTGAGGCTCCTCCTCTGGGCGTCGGGGAGTTCCATAAACTGCTGGACGTTGACGTGGGTCTTGGCGTCGCCATCAACGGCCTGGGCGATTTCGGAGGTGAAGTGAGGGAGCTGGAGAAGAGGCGACGACTTGGGAGGCATGGCCTGGATGAGATGCTGGGTCGTAGAGAAGGAAGCGATAATAGGGGCTGTGTGGCCAAAGGCCTGGGCGATGACGGAGAAGGAACGGTTGAGGGCGTCAGCGGTGGGTGCGACCTCGTACTTGGCGCTGTTGAGGGTCTGGTCGTTGAGCTTGACGCGCCCGAGGTAGGCCCAGAGCAGAGACAGGGCCTTGCGGCGCACGCCATTGTCGAGGTCCTCGAGGGCGTGCTTGTCCTTGGTCGTCAGTCCGGCGCCGGTTGCTATCCTGGACTCGATAGAAGCGAGGCCAGAGTCGGCCTTGTCGCCCTTGAATGTCTCGTCGTACTCCTTGCCGGCACTCAGGGCGGTGATGACGCCGCCGGTGTCGATGTTGTCCTCGTAGGCGCGGAAGAGGTCGTTGGCCGACTCCATGAGGACACCTTCCTTGGACATCCTCTGGGTTCCGTACCACCACGATCCGACAAGGTAGGGGAGGAGAACACCGAGGAGGAGGGTGTAGAGAACGACGACGTACTTGCCGTTGCCGTCGGAGATGATCCAAGGGGGCAAGGCGATGCCGATGCTGAAGCTCTGCTTGCCGTCGGGGTGGCCATACTGGATGTAGTTGTTGCGGACCTCTTCGTCAGTGAGGGCCTGGTAGGCCTTGGAGATCTCGACATAGGCATCGTTGAGAGACTCAATCGTCTCATTCTTGGCCGGGTTAGGCTTGACCTTGTCAGGGTGCAGTGTTCGGGACAGCTTTCGGTATTTGGACTTGATCATCTTCTCGGTAGCAGACTAAGGGGGAAGACATGTCAGCCAAATGGGGCTCCACTGAAGCCGGACGGGCGGCCAGAGGGGGAGGGGGACATACGTCTGGGAGACCGAGAATGTCGTACGGGTTCCACAACTTGAGGACTGTCCTCTGTGTGTGCAAGATCAGGTAGACCATGGCGGCCATGAGAGCCCAGCCGACGATGACGAACAGGGCGCGCTTGACCCTACGCTGCTTCCGCTTCTGCGCATCGCGACGCGCTTGTATGAGGTCCTCATGCTCGGGCTTGAAGTCGGACTGAATGCGTGGCGCCTTGGCCTCGATGTCTTTGGCGGGGAAAAGGAGAGTGTAGGTGAGAGGGAGGGTGACGAGGCCCGTCAGGGTGAGGATGAAGACGGGGAAGAATTGCCCCTAGAGTAGGTCGGTTAGCTGATGCTCGCTGCGCGCACCAAGATACGACCTCGAGAAGGAGCACCAGTGCTTCCTCGGTTTGCCGGCTGGCTGGAGGGATGAAAGGCTGTGCAGCAGGGGAACGTACCTGCTCATCGTATGAGTATTCGGAACTCATCTTGCCGGTTGTAGGAAGGTGAGCGTTGGTTGCGAAGCAGTCGCAGGTAGAATGGAGAGGTTGTGGTCCAGGTCTACAGTCTGGAGTATGGAGGCCTTCGTAGAGAGTTCGACATATGACAATCGTGGCCTCGAAATATTAGCTTGGGTGCCAGCGGGCAGGGGTCGTTCCACTGCGAAGTGTGACGGAAGGTCGCCCGCCGGCAACTGGATTATCTGTCCTTCCCGCAGGGGTCAGAGCTCGGGCCACCTGGGGTCCACTCCCTCCCAGTAAGCCTTCACCGAGCTTCTCCTGACTTCTGTGATGCGGTACCTCAAGGTAGGTACCTGGGTAGACGCTGAAGTTCATCTTGTCCATTTGACTGCAACTATCCTCCAACTCTGTAGCTGACCCATGCAACTCCGGAAACTCACTACGAAGCAACGCCGACCCCCAAGCCTATCCGCCCATGCCCAAAACCCAAGTAAAAAACATGCCTGTCCCAGCCAAACCTACTCTCCGCTGTCCGTTCGCAAACGCCATCTCCTTACTCAACGTAGACCTCCATCCGCAGCGGGCTCCCCTTCCCTCTGGCCTCAGCATCTACCTTTTGAACGCGAGGCCGCATCGCAAAGGCCTCGACGTACGAGAGCGCCTTGAGAGGGCCCTTTGTATCGCTGTCGAAGAACACCTCGATGTCGGCCTCACCCGTCCTTTCGTCAACCCCCCGATGCATCGCAGTGTCATCTCTGAAAACCTCACAGGGTTCATTGAGCGACAATTTCTGCAATTCAGGCGCCAGTGCGGCCTGATCGCTGTCGTCGTAGATGACAAACTCCGTATCAAAGCTGATGTAGCTGTCTCGCGTCGTGCTTTCCAGGTAGGACATTTGGTGCGAGTGATTCGTGTCTTCGGCCTGGCAGACCACATCTTGCGCGCCTACTTTGCGGAATTCGTGACCAGAGCCCGGATTGCGATGCTGCTGCTTGAGGGGACGGCGCGGCTTGAGAGTGCCTGGCCATTGATCAGTACATCTACCGCAACCATCAATCCTCAGAAAAGAGGAACGTACTAATTCGCATGCTTGCCTTTCCGACGCGTGCCTGATTGACCGGTGGCGCCACATTTTCCTTGTCGTCTCGCGGGTCGTGCCTGACCGGCGGGAACCTGCCGTCGTGATGCGACGGGCGCGATCGTCGGCCTCGGTGAGGAGACATCTTGCTGCTATACCCTCTGGCGGTCAATCAAACCTGGCTTCTTGGTGTCTCGGAGGGCAACTCACGCAGAAAGCACTTGGTCGCGTGACGGGAGTATCGCCTGTTGACTGATATGCAGTTTGATCTGCCTTTGCTCCAAAGTTGCAAGTCAAGGCAATGGTCGTGTGAATCGTCAGATAGAGCCAGATTCCTCAGTGCACATGAAGAGGTGAACGAAAGGCTTGAACGTGAACTGGGCCTACCGACCGGCATCTTGAGCATACAATTCAAGGCAGGCAGTCTGTGATTCAAGATGCAGTGCTGCCCATTGAGGCTACTGCCCTGCCTTCCTATTGTTCAACTTCAATACCCAAAACGCCCAGCTGTAATAATTATGGACAAGTACACGCCTCAGCACCATCACGTTCAATCCCTCTTCTCAAAGTCGTCTCCTTCCTCATCGTCGATAATGGCATTCTCATCATCCAACGAGGTGGTCAGCTTGCCCTCATCATCCGTCGACTCGTCTTCAATGTCCGTGTTCCCCGTCACCATCAGGCTCCTCATGTCGTCCTCGCTGATAATGGTCTCAATGCTGCCGCGGCGAGCCCACGGTCTCGTCTCTTTCCGCCCCTGCTCAATCATCCGCTCAACCTTGAGCCTGTTGCCCATGAACTTCAGAATCGGGAACCCGCGCTGCTGCCCCTCGTGCAGCATCCTTGCGAGCCGCGGTGGATCTGGGTCCGACAGGATGTGATAGAAATCGCTGGGCACCGACTTGGGCCAGATGGTGATCGTGCCACTAAACTGCTGCAGAAACAGCTGCGACCAGTCCTGCCCCAGCGGTCGGGGCAACAGCTCGGCGTGGCGGATGAACTTGAGCCACTTGGTCATGTCGAGCTTGAGGTAGTGCTCGACGGCCGACATGACGTACCCGCCGCGCCAGCCCTTGCCCTTGCGGTGCGTGACAGGGTGGCCCACGGAGCCGCGCGAGGAGAAGAAGAAGAGGTTGATGTGCGGGTTGACCTGCGAAACGACGGTGAAGTTGACGTTGAAATGGAGGTTCAGCGCCTTAATGGGGATATCGGTGCGCAGACTGCCATCCTTCCACTTGTGGCCGAAGGAGTATGGCGCCAGTGTGCCGTCGCGCTGCTTCATCAAGAGCACAACGGGGTTGAGAATACCGGGGACGGCGGCTGAAGCCAGAACCGCAGACCAAATGACGCAGTCGGGGCTTGTGAGATAGTTGCAGAGGATCGTCGGCGAGTGCGGGTCGGCGGGCACGCACGAGACGTTGAGGATGCGGCCGGTTCGTTCGTAGGCTTCGCGAAACGTCATGGACCCCCGCGTCCACCAACTGCACTGTCGCGCCCAGTCGACAGAGTCAAATCGAGCGCCCGTCTTCCACCACCGGGGGAACCACGTGACGAAAGATTCCCGGCATGCTGTGATCTTGCCTGCGAGGGCTGGCACCAGGAGCGTCTTCAGTTCATCATTCGTTCGAGTGGCGACAAGAGCCGCGACGAGAGCGCCGCCGCTGGTCCCCGTGATGACGTCCGGCAGAAGATTTGCGTCGAGCAGGGATTTGACAACGCCCAGGTGGTAGTAGGCAAAGCCGGCGCCACCAGACAGGCAGAGCGCCGTTCGACCATAATTGGCGTGCATGCCCTTGAACAGGACACGCTTCTCTTCCTGGGTCAATTGCTTGGTGTTGAGCAAGAATTTGATACTCCTCTCGACTGCACTCAGGTCAGCATGGTCTCTTACACACAAGGGACGCCATGACGCGACGTCGTCACGACGCGACGCCGCCAGGACAGCTGACCTTCATCCGTAAAGTTCTGCACGAGGTTCTTCGTCCCGTAGTACGTCTGGCTGTACAAGCGCGGGTTCTCGACGCCAACAAAATTATTCTTGACACACGCCTCAAGCAGGCCCCTCAGCTCGTCGACAGCGCCGCCCTTCTTCCTCCTCGCCCCGTCGGCGCTCTCGTTGTCGTTGTCGTCGTCGTCGTCCGAGTCGCCCCGCTCAAAGGCCTCGGCCCGGTGGCGACACTTGCGCATCTGCTCCCACACCCTCTTGACCGTCTTGGAGTCGTAGTAGGCAAAGTCGTTCTCCTCCTTCCACGTCTGGCGGCCGAGGTAGGCGTCGAGCTCGCGCGCGGCGGCGACCCAGTCGCGGTAGTTTCGCGTGGCGCGCAGGCTGCGGCGCAGCTGCTGGCGGCGGCCGCGCCAGGTGACAAAGTGCTCGTAGACCCAGATGTAGAGGCGCGTGTAGAGGTAGGTCAGCGCGAGGCCGACGAGCCAGGCGCCGACGAAGAAGAGCATGGGCCACTTGAGCAGGGCGTAGAGGTAGCCCTCGCGCGTCTCGTCGGCGCTGCGCGTGCCGAGGAGGGCCTCGGCGGCGCCCTGGGCGCGGCCGCCCTTGCGCTTCGGCCGCCGCTTGTGCTTGTGCACCCGCTCGTGCACCGGCGCCCAGTCGTTCTGGGCCGTGATGAACATGCTCTGGTGGCTGCTGACGGCGGCGGCGTTGCCGTTGGGGTAGATGCCGTTCGGGCCCTGCGGCGCCGTGACATCGCCGGCTTGGGCGGCCGCCGTGGCGGCTATGGCGCTGGCGTCAGCATCGTCGGGGGCGCCGAGGTGCGAGTTGCGCTTGGTGACGTCGAAGGAGCTGGGGCTCTGGATGCTGGGGGACCGCAGGAAGGTCGTTTCTTCAGCGGGGCTCTGCAGAGGGTCGGGAGCCTGGAGGGCCGAGATGAAGGTCGCAATATCAGAGTCGTTGAGAAAGTTGGTATCATAGTCGGGTAGGAGGGCGGGGTCGAACGCCTCGGGCGTGAATCCGTAGATGTCTTCTGCTTGTTCAGCCATGATGGAGGGCCGTTGTGGAGGAGAAAAGAGGCATGTTACGGCAACTGGGAAATGCAGCGCTGAGTGTGTGCAGTCGTGGCAAGGCAGCAAAGCGGGAGCTCGTGAGAGGCGGCAAATGTGTGGATGGACGAATGGATGGTTTGGACAGGCACAATGCAGGAACGAGGGAGCAAGGAGCACTTGCACCTGCACTTGCACGCACCTGCGCTTGCACGAGCCCGGGTTGGGAAACTGTAATGCGGTCAGATAAGGCAAGGGTGCGCCACGGTGGGATGACGTAGCATCAAAGTGGCGCTACCGCCTCTGCTTCTGTTGGGCTGTGCAGGCATTTGACCTGGTAGCATGGAGCCCAGCAAGCCCAGCAAGCCCAGGCATGCTGACCAGGAGGGGCCAAAAGGCACTCAGCAGCAATGAAGCATCCATGAGCGACCTGGGACTTTTCTAACTGTAAATCCTAGCTCAAGTGCTACTTGGTGAGACTGTTGGGCTGAGACATGGAGGAATGCTAGTGGGGGCCTGTCATCACGATACAGTTGAGGCCACCGATGCGTGGCTCAGTTGGACACCTGTACAGTGACTCTTTCAACAGCCTCAAGATCTTTTTTGAAATGCTCCTGTCCGTAGCATCAAGAAAGACGCCATCCTCGGTGTTGAGTCCATCAGTAGAATCGGACAGGGCCGTCAGAGAGCTTGCATGTCCTCCACTGACCCCATCCAATGCAACCATCAGCAAGGGCAAATGTGGTCTCAAGAAGGGAAGCAGCAGACGGTAAAAGACGCAAAGCAACGCATCCGATTCCAATAATCTACTAAAACCCGTCGCTATGAACGAGTTTGATTGACTGCCAGCCGAAGGACCCCCTTAAACCATGGAGCCTAGGAGCACGGCTATGAACCCCCGTCACCAATCTTCGTGTCTACAACATTCCCCCTTTCATCATGTACGCCCCCGACTATCATCGTCACTCGGTTGCAAGCTTCACGCAGACTTCCGAGTCGTCCGATGGGGGAGGCCGTTTCGTAAGAAACACCGCCCTTCCTCACCATCCGCCCAGTGGGCCGGTCCACGTCGTCTAGACGTACTGCGACAACCATCGAATGGCATCGCCATATCCTGCAGAAACCCACGTCAGCAACGTCACACGTTTACGATAGGATCTCCTCCGAGGTGGGAAAACCCCGAGCCGGCGTACCTTGGCGCATGACAACGGACACCATAAAGACCTCGATCGGCCGGATGCCCTCCAGCGGCACCTTGCCCTTCCCCGTCGTCTGGTACAGGCCGAGGTGGTGGCGGAGCTCGTCCTCGGAGATGGCGTCGGGGTGGTCGATCTTGTTGCCGAGGACGACAAACGGCACCTTCTGCAGCTCCTCCATGGACAGGAGGGCGTCGAGCTCAGCCTTGGCCTCGGGGAAGCGCTCGTGGTCCTTGGCGTCGACGAGGAAGACGATGCCGTTGACCTCGGGGAAGTAATCCTTCCAGAGTCGTCGTGCCTGCTGGTGACCGCCCAGGTCAAAGGTCGTGAAGCGGACGTTGCCGATGGCGAGCTCCTCGGAGGCTGTGATGCGTAGAATATGTCAGCTTTTCTATTCCCCCGGATCGACAGCAGGCAAAGGGGGGGCCACGAACTAGGGTGGAGCGTAGGCTGAAGGATCGCGACGCGGTCGTTCTGTCGTCAAGAGGTTAGCATGCGGTGTGTGAGGCCGGCAGGGGATGGAACGAGGCGGCCATGTCGCCATCGCCGTTTGGCACGTGAGACTCGACTCGAGCCCGGCTCGCCAAATGTACGTCCATCGCGTAACGCACCTTGAGCATGTGCAGCAGCGTCGTCTTGCCGGCGTTATCGAGACCGAGGAACAGCAGCTTGGCGTGCTTGTTCAGCAGGCCCAGGCTGGAGAGCACATCCCAGACTGTCAAAGTCGACACATGTCAGCTAAAGTTTTGCCCCTCCCCAGGTAGCAGCAGCGCATTGCACCGCCCGCGCGAGGGATGGGAATGGACGGCGAGGGTAATACGTACACCAGTTGAACATCCACATGATGATATTAGGCGAAGCAGCAGAGGGGTACGGAGAGTGATGCTGAGAATCAACGGCTGCTGTTGGAAATAAATTCGTCGGTCGTGCGGTCGTCAAGTCGTTAGGTTTTGGGAAGAGCCGGGCGATAGGAGATCAAAGTTGGCAAAGAGCAGTCGTGCCCGTGAGGCCAGGTCTAGACTTTGGGTGCCTTGAGTTTCAGGCTGCCACTCCCCATGTCCCTCCCACGGCTTCTGAAGCCCCCCCTACGCCGCCTGCACTCTGGGTGTCAATGCACTGTAAGCCACCCACCAAATCACCTCCGTTGCCGCCCGCCCTTCACAGACAGTCGAGATGCCGCACCCTGATCTCAGGATCAGGCGGCCTTCGACTGCACAGTCACGACATAAATCACCCGAAGTTTCGAAGAGGCAGAAAATTCATCGTCAGAACGGCAAAGCCGCCCGTGTCATTATAAATGCTCCCCAGTGGTCTCTCCGGACCATCCCATGCAAGCGAATGAGCTATCCCAGGGTATCGAGCCTTCGCTGCTGCCGTCGGCTCCCTCCTACTCACTCTCGGTCGTCAAAGTATATACAGAGTCTTCCTCCCAATTCGAGGCTCTCTTTAAGTGTAGAAAATATGTGCCATGAAGTGAAGCAGACAAAGAAAATAAACAGGAACGTGTGGATCATGCTGATGCTGCTGTAAGCTCCCTGGCAAAAGCCAATGCTGAACGCCGTACTCGGGGGTGTAATGTGGCCCCTATGCAAAAAATACAAGACGAGGAAGAAGACTAAGAAAATGGACCTGTGAAGTGGCCACTCAGACAGACAAGACATAATTGCCCTGGTCAATCTTGCCAGCCATGAGCAAACCGAGTTCCCTCATGCGAACGCAGCCCATGCCAGGCATGGGCTTGCGCTCTGGCTTCTGTCCCTTGCGGGCGCGGTTGCAGTATTTCTGATAGTACTTCTCCTTGCGACGTTGGCGCTTCTGCTCCAACCCCTTGACAATGTCGATGGCACTACGAATGTGAACATCGTTGTCATGAGCGTTGGGCATCAATGCCTTGTTGCGACGGCCGTTGCGCATGTTGAACCATGCGGCTGGGCGAGGCAACGACTTGGTCATGGTGAGACCCGGGCGGGAGGCAAGCTCCTTGAAGGCGATGGCCTGAGGCCCGGTACGCAGAGACGCAGGCGGTGACCTGACGACCTGAAGAGCAGGCGACCCCATGCGGCAAGGAGAACGGCGGTCAAACAACCTCTTGGGGGGTGGTGAGCGACCGCGGTTCTTGGGAGGAGGCGAGTGGTAACGCTGTTTTGGGGGCGGCGAGTGATAACGCTTGGGAGAGCTGTGCTCGCTCTTCTTCTTGCGGCTGCGCCTCTCTTGCTGGTGGTCAAGGTCGTCCATCTCGCCGTGCAGCCAGACGTCATCGTCATCGCTGGCGTGCTTCACAGGGTTGGTAAAGCTCTTCTTCGCCATTGTCTTCGGGCTCCGAGGCAGGGAAAACTAGGTCGATGTCCTGAGGAATGACGTGAAGCTTCTCACGCCTGCGGGCAGCAAGACACGAGAGATAGGCGTCTTCGATGGGACGGTCCTCATCAAGGGTACCGCAGACAAAGTCGGTACTGTCAGGAAGCTCAGGAGTGCCAGGGCGGATCTTGATGCGACGAGACTTGCCAGAACGGACAGCCCGAACGCTGCTGATAGAGCCGAGGGAAGAATCGGACTGATGGCCGATAGACGCACGACGTCCAACAGGTGTTGCAGATGAAGGACCGGAAAGGCGGAGGGCGGGCTGCGCGGGAGTCCATAGCTGAAGGTCGTCATCAGCCTCGTCGTCCGAGTCGGCAAAGCCAGTCTCCTCGTCAGTGTGATAACCGATGGAATCATCGTCCTCATCCTCGGTAACGTAGCCGGAGAGACCGTCGTCAATGTCATCATCGTCCTCGTCCTCGTCCTCATCCTCCTCCTCTTCGCCGGCGGTGGCGTTGAGGTCGTCATCGTCATCGATGGCCGTCTCGTCATCGTTTTCCTCTTCATCGGCCTCCTCTTCGGCTTCTTTAGCGAGCTTGCGAATCTCATTCTCCTTCGCCAGGGTATCATTGACGGTCATCTTGCGGCCTGCAACAGGAACAGTCTCTCGCATCCAGTCCTCGTCACAGTGGTCGTCGCTGGCAAACTCGTGGAAGCGGGATGCTTCATTCTGAAGATCCTTGTCGTCCACAGTAATGTACTTCTTGGTGGACATGGGCTTGCGAGCAGGGTCGCGGGAGGAGCGGCGCGCCGCCGGGGGGCGGGGAGACCGTGAGTGGCTCGAGGAGAAGCGATGCTTCCTGACAGTGGCAGGAGAGCTGTCGGGGGTGTGGGGCTGCAGACGAGAAGCGGCAGCCTCGAGGTGCTCAACGTGTTGGGGAGGGGTGGATTGGTTGACAGGTCGAGGAGCAGGGCAAGCAAATTTGATGCACCGCTTGCGAGGCGCATCAGGCTTGGGCTCGATGGCCTGATCCTGGGGTTTCGGTGCCTCAACAGGCTTGGGCGCTGCGGTGGGCTTCGCGGCGCACGCAAACTGGATGCATCGTTTCCTAGGTGGCGCAGTCTTCTGGGACTCCTCTCCTCCTGCAAGAGGGGCCTCCTTCGCGGCACGGGCCGGCTCGTTGTTCAGCTTCAGGAAGCGGAGTTCAGGTAGGGGAGGACTGGGTGTGTTGGTCCGCGATGGGCTGGTCATGCCCGTATCGCTAGTCAAGTCGGCGGTCGAGGCAATGCTGGCGTTGCTCGTAGTGCAGCGTCGAAGACCAAAGAGGTGAAGCGAAGACCGAGGTTCGGTGTGCTCTTCTTCAGGTTCGTAGTGCAGAGCCTTGGTGAGCAGCGACTGGTGGTGGTGGACGTCCACCGAGTTGCGAATCGGGTTGCGAGTGAAGGTGCTCTTCATGGGCGAGTAGGGCAGACGCGAATCGGGGGGTTCATCGACGTCGCCAATGTCCTCGTCGGCAATGGAGGGCATGTTGGAAGTCTGCGCCGCCCAAGACATGACGGCTGATGCCGCACTGGAGTGTGTTGCGTTGTGCGTCATTGTGGGGGGATCTGAAGTCGACCGGGGAAGGGCACGTTTCTGGAAGGTCGGGGTGAGTGCTGGAGCTCGGTGAGGAACTCGCGATGTAAACGTAGTTGAGGTGAGACAGGTGCTGGAAGATGGGAATATGACCGGACAAGGCGTTATTTGTGCAAGTTGCGCGGTGTAGAGAGAAACGGGTGATGGTTGCAGGCGATAATCAGGTAAATTGTTGCGGTGGTAGGCTTCTGGCGATCCGCGACGTGGAAAGGCTGCAGCGCAAGAGTCGGTCGTGTCCCTAGGGACAGTAGTGCTATTTGAGAGAGACAAACATGTCGACTGTCGAGAACAGAAGTCTTGTTCGGGTGGTGTGCGTTGGTTGGAGAGGATCCAAAGGGTTGAAAGGGGGCAGTGAGCCAGTTCGCTCAATAAGACTGAAGCTGTTGTTCAGGGTCCCTCCAGGTAAAGATGCTTGGCGAGGATCGATGTATGCGTTAGGTGGGTGCGAGGCAAGACAAGCAAGGGTGCAGACGCTGACTTGGCCGTCACAGAGCGGTAATGATGGTGCCAGGGACGTCGTTAGGGTCGAGGCGCAGGGGGGCGATGTGATGTGATCTGCACAGGAGGATGGTTGAGACCTGGAATGTCGAGGTGAACAAAATAAGTCTCAGAAGGAAGAGGATGCGGGTGTGGGAAGATGGGGGTGGGTTGAGGGCGAGGGGCCTTGCGATATATTCGGACCCGGGCTGGGGCTGACGGCCACTGGGAGAAAGCGCGTGCGGGTGGTGGATGACAGTGGGCGGAAAAGGCAATTGGGCAGGAGCAGCAGGAGCAACAAAATGGTACTGTAACAATAAACGCTGCAGGCGACGGATGGACAAGGCCCCACCCCCAAGAGCAAAGGCGCAGTACCTGGTACATGTACCTCACTCAGCACTCAGAACTGGGGGGCGAATGCAATCGGAGGTTGCGGCTTCCATGCGGCAGGTACAGGATGGCGGGGGGAAAGGGCTGGGAGCTACATGACTTTGAACTATGTACTTGAGTACCTCGCGACATGGATACGTATCGGTACACCGACACCGTTCAGAGGCCCTTAGCGTCGTGCCTGTTTTCCGTTGTCAGATGTCCGTTTTGTCCATTCTGTCGGTGTGTTCACACGGAGCGTCAAGGGCTGGCCTAGGCAGCCTCCACTGCAAGATTTCTCACTGGTTGCCACCATTCGCCGCCAGACATACAGTAACAATTGGAATGAGATGGGACTCGGATCCCCCCCCAAGTCCAAGAGCTAATAACCAAGGGGGAAAAAAAAAAACTCGAAAAGCCGACCCCCAAACCCCGATGTCCACACCGAGGCTGGTCCCTTTCTGCAGCCAGGGCCTCCACCTTTGGACACATTCTATTGCAAATTTGACACTATTTGTTGCAAACCTGACGAGATTGTTGGAGCGATCCTAGCCGGTCAACCGGCCAGAACACCGGATCAGTGACCTCTGTGACACATGGCTGACAGTTGATTGTCCACAGGCGAACAGAGGCAAATATCGAATTCAAGATGATCCCAATCCAGTTTACCCACCACATCCCTCAAGCTCAACGGTAACGACCCCCAAGCCCTTGATGACCGTGTCATCCCTCCGACCTGCGAAGGCCCCGTCGACGAGCCAGGGTCAGGGTCACCCGCCCGAGAGCGACAGGGGCATTTCAAGCCCTGAGATCGAGTCCGGGGCTTGGCAAGCGTCCACACCCGCGCATTCGATGCCACCCTGGCTTGCCTGGCACCTGGGTCCCTCTCCCTACGGTGCTCCTTTGGCGCGGCGGCCTCAACTCAACCCAGGGCTTGGCCGAGTCATTCCTGAAATCCTGCCTTGCTGCCTTCCTGTTTCACCTCGACTCGGTGGACAGCGTCAGTCAGCAGGGCGCAGGGCTGCGATCACCGCTGAGCCACCCCACCGAAGACGGAATTCCTTACGCTGGGCACCAGGCGTGCCGTCTCCTCCAGGGCCTGACCAGAAGGACATGACCCAAGAAGTTGTCGTCATGATGATTTGGGTTTTCGTGGCGCTGCGATGAATTGCTCGGTCTAGCGTGCCGACAAATCCTCGTGCGGTGGCCGAGGGGCGCTGCGCCGAAGAGAACACTGCAGATCGAGTCAAGAGACGGATGGCACTTACACCAAGCTCCAATCGACGAGATGACGATCAACCTTCGTCCCGACTTCTGTACAGTACTGCTGCCGCCCGAGCTTTGCGAAGAGGGGCTGAGTGCTGCCATTGTGCTGCGCTTACCACGGCAAGACGCGGGCATGGGGACACAAGCGTGACACCTGTCCTGCCTGCGCACCTCGAGATTGAATGTCAGAAAATGTCTCAGCCCGTGGGGGCAGACCAGACAGTTCACCAACCAGTACAGCCTGCTCTCAATGGCAGCGGCACTGGCCACAGCATGCACAGGAGGAGCCAGGAAAAGGCACCCCAACCACTCGGACAGCAGCTGGCTAGCGAAGCCTGGCAAAATGAGGTGTCCACAGTGCGACAGCGGCAAAGACGGAATTCCCCTTGGCCCTAGTGCCAGCAAAAAGACAGGGCACGCCAAGTTGGTTGTGCGGGATTTTGCGGGATGACGATAGTATCCGGGGGGGGGGGGGGGGGGGGGGCGCTGTTGAGCAGCGAGCCCCAGCACAGGCCGAGGCGCAGGCCGCAAATACGGTGCGTATCCTGCGTGTTTTGTTACTGTCTTCTGTTGCCGCCATTGGCACATTGTAAATCTTTTCGTGTAAAGTGGTGGTCGCTCGTTGGACACGTCGTCGGCACCATGGATTCGATGCCTTTACGATTTGGTAACCCTTTGCCAATGCTTTGCTAACTGGTTCTCGGAGCTTGCCTGTTTCCTCCTCACCGTGGCCCAACACGTCGACATTGTCGAGACCTCCACCTTCCAGCCAAGGAACAACACCTCATCAGTCGGGCCCCGGAGCCGGAGACATTCAACACACTGGAATGAACGGTGGCTCTGCCGTCTGCCGTGCCGCTTTCGCCGTTTCCTGAAGTAACCCCCACCATACCCACCAGGAGCGTGGAGCAGAACCCACCAGGGCGACATCCACGCCTTTGACCTTTCGGGGCATTTCCACTGGGCGACACGCCCCCGTGCTGCAGTACATTGCAGGTTCAATTGAATTGAGTGCTTTGACCCTGTCGTTGGTGGCTGGCGGGCAGGGTGAGCTACTTCCAGGATCATTATTAGCCAGATGAATGGACCAGCATGCAGAGTCAGCCGCTTCGGTTTACGGTGTTTCACGCCTCCATGCCCGATTCATGCTTCTTTGTCGACGCCTGCTCGAATACTTTCGCCGCATGAAACCCCCCATCGGCTCTGCTCACCCTCACTGCGCTCCAAATGGCATCCCGTGCCTATTGATGGGGTCGAGGGGCGGTGAAAAGGGGGGGGCCACACTGGATCTCGCATCGGAAAGAAGACAACGACCACTACTACATGTCGATACCTTGTGGTGACTCTAGCTCACCGCTGGACGCAGCTCAATTGAGCGAGCAATAATTGTCGGTCCCGCAAATGAGACGTGACAGATCACCCTCACGGACCCCTCGTGGCCCTCCCTCTTCCCCCAATTTCTGCAATTTCTGAGCCTCGCCTCGCTGGGTCTGCATCTTGGAGGCGGCATGCAGCCGACATGAAGGTCTCACCTCTGTTCATCCCGAGCACCTTGCTTCTTCCTCGTACAGAGAGCACCCTTCTTGGCGCTTCTCCACACATGCGGGTGAAGGAACACCATGCAGGAGAGCTCTCACAGCTCTTGCACAGCTGAAGCCAATGATCTGGCTGGCTGGCTGGCTGGCTGGCGCATCTGTGCTGACGGCGCGCATGTATCCCTTTCGCTCGGGTCTGGCTACCAAGCCTTTTTTTCGTCTCATCATCATTTCTGTCCCCTAGACAGAGAGCTTGGCAGCCGAGAGACCATCCGAATGTCGGCACTTCTCAGCATTTGAGTTCACTAGAAGAACCTGTGACATGCCAGACGCTTTCGACATCGTCCCAGCAGCCCGTACCCGGGGTCCTCTTTCGACGCTCCCTCACAAGCTTGTGTCCCATCGGCTCCCGCAGCTCCCGTGGACACGAGGGAGAGTCTCTTTCTCGTGTCCCCCGTCATCATGTTTCCGTCCCATCCATCGTAGCTCTGCAAACCAGCACCGGCGCCAGGAGCCCACCACGCTTGTCCTCGCCGCCGAAATGCACCGAGAGTGACGACATCAGCCACCCTCCACGACACCACCCTTCCTGCACGTTCTTGGCACGGGACCCGGAGCTGAAGGAGCTTCACCCACACTTTTTGCCTGCGCGCAGCGGCGCCGTGACGAGCGGGCGAGCGGGGGAATGTGATGGGACAATCGGAGGTGTCGCCTGACGGTAGAGAAGGATGGGGGTCAAGTCAGGTCAGGTTTCACTGTCACAATACTGTGTGCAACCAAACCTGACTGACGACAGCCCAGAGAAAAGGCTCGTGTCATCAGGAGACGGGAGCGCCGCGTCGGTGCCAAACTGGCGATCATCTCGGCAGGCCAACTGCTCTCCTCCGAAACGGTGACTTTGAGAAGGTCCATTGCATTCGTGAAACAATAAGCCGCGTGCGCCTGAATGCGGCCACGACGGCAACAAGGGCAGGACGACAACCCGTCAGCAGACCGAGAGCAGCGAGTTTCGTTCCCCCAGAGCAACGCATCAACAGTGCATTTCCCGTGCACCAGTGCTTTTTCCGTGGCAGAGGCCGTCACCCCACGCGAGTCCACCCACAACCCTGGAACCCCGCCCTTTCTTCGCGATTAGCGACCCTGTCACAGCAGCTTCAACCCCGCATTCGCGAAAGTTGTCGTGCCACGATGTGCTCTGGTCTGCTCACCCCTCAGTCTCCATTCACCTGCAACGTCTGGCGCGGTACTGGCGGCGCGGGGAATAAATTGGCTTTCGAAGCAGGGCGAGGTGACGACACGGTTGATGCGGCGCTACAAGTTGAGTGGTTGTTGTTGGCGTTGGTGGTTGTTGTTTGTACATTATGCTGCATTTCGGTTTCATCGGCATGCTATTTCCCTGTTCCTGCCCTGTTGTCGAGAGCGGGTAGCAAAGCTCACGCATCGCATTGAGTGCATTAAATGTCGCCAACCAGGGGCCTCCCAGCCGTGAATCTCCTGCTTGGTACTTCACGAGGACAAACAGCTGGGCCGTCTGTACGCGCCTCGATGTTTTGGCGGTGACCCTGTCGACAGTGGTACGTTGGCGCTCACTCAGGCCCAGGGGTAACCATCTCACTGGTCACAGGAGAAGGCCATGTATCGGGGTATGATTGGCAGGCTTTGGAATGACCATCTCCTGCCGCATACTGCCCTGTACTGGCCAGTTGCCTGTGCCAGAACAACAACATGCATGCATGTCCACGGCACGGGATGCCATTCCAGAAATGCTTTGCGCGACTTCGCTAGGTCAGAGAGCCAGCACAGACGAGCGGCGTCCCCCCTTTTCGTCGCATTTTAGGAGAATACGTCTCATACTGAGAAATGCGTCGCGTGGCCATGCTTCTGCGCCGCTTATTCGTCCGACTAGTAGGGCCCTGTGCGTCGTTGGCGAATATCACGAGCCTCCCCCTCTTGGGCCCTCCATTATCGTGTTTGACCGTAAGATCTCCCCTGTTGTACAAAGATGTGCGATTTGCTGGGAGGATCGCCCGCGGCATATCCTGTCGGAGAAAGCAAGATAGAAAAGATTGTCGGTCATGCCGCTCCGATCGACAGCGGGAAACAAGATGGCGAATTGTGAAACGTTGAGCAGGCTGCGGGGGGGTTGGTGGCAGGCTGCATCTTGTGGGTGACTCGTGAGGTTTTGGGCCTCAACGCTGCCGTCGCCGCACGCATGGCGTTGCCGGCCGCGAGTCCTCACCTTACGGCCGTGCTTACCGTCGTGCCGTGTTTTGGGGTCCCGCATGGCGATGCTGGTGTACTGAGCATGATGGGCTTTTTGATTTTCTGGTGTCATGGGACTGCGAGCTTCCACCGCAAGTGCAAGCTGCAGCAGCCACCGAGTCACCGCTGCTGACCGACCGAGATCTACCTGCGGGCCGTGCTATCTGGCACTTCGTGTACCTGCCCAGATTGGCTTGTTATAGGGGTCTCTGTCGCCTCTGTACTGCCAGGATGGCAGTGCTGTGAAGGGCGATGCTGCGTGGTTACGTGATGGTTGAGACATGTCGTGAGGGGATCGCCGTCCACGTTGGCACAACACGCAACACGCAAGGTGTCGTCAGCCCAAACCTGCGTTAGCCTGAACTGTCATTGAGACGTTGCGACCACCGATCCAATTTTGACACTCTCTCGACTGTTGGTCGTTTGCCTGACGACGCGCCCAACGGTCCGCGCAAGGCGGTCCATGTGGTGTCTATCAACAGCCTCAGCCGGCAGGCATGTCTCTGACACTGCCACGCGCCATGCCCGTGTGCATACTGGTCGCGGTGAGAAACGCTGGTAAGAACGAGGTAAAACGTAACCAAACGGAAAGCATCTATTCTTGTCTGTCATGTACTTGTACTTGCGTCGTCCTGGTATCGAACGGACGACGTAATGGATGGCAAATGACTCTATTCACGGTTTCAATCCTCGGTGGCGAGAGCAACATTTGGTTCCTGCTCGGTTAGCCGTTTCTTTTCGTTTAAGTGCACTATATTATTCATCTTGATATTACTCCTTTATGCATAGCATGCATCGCTACCATGATACCCTGCTCTCCGCAGTACCGCTCAATCGGGCTCACACCCGACTCACGTGACTGGTCCGAAAATCTCCCGGCTAGCCGGTCGCGAATGGAGTCAGGCGAAGATTCCTGTCCCGACCTCACCTGAAGCTCCCGCCAGCATCAGACCCCAATTGCCCTCTCAGCCCATCATGAACTCCCTCCGCATCGCGCGCGCCGCTCTCCGAGCACGCCCTGCCGCTATCCGCGTGCCTCTCCAGCGCCGCACCTACGCCGATGCCGTCCCCGACAAGGCAAGCCCAGCAGCCACCTCGACGACCTCCCTGAGCGTGTCCGGCTAACCGTCTCCCAGATCAAGCTGAGCCTGTCGCTCCCCCACCAGGTACGAATGCGATCCCATGCCGAGAATGTCGATTGCTACGGCGAGATGGAACACGGAGATGAATTGGGCACACGACGATGATGCCGATGGACCGAGCCGAGCTAATTGCCGCACGCAGCCCATCTACAAGTCCCAGGATGTCGTCCAGGTCAACATCCCCGCCGAGTCTGGCGAGATGGGTGTCCTCGCCAACCACGTTCCCTGCATCGAGCAGCTGAAGCCTGGCCTGATCGAGGTCATTGAGGAGAGCGGCGGCAGCAAGCAGTTCTTCCGTACGTCATGACGAACCCACCCCTCGAACCAGCACGCGGTCCACTAACCCGTGGGAAAACGCAGTCTCCGGCGGATTCGCCACTGTCCAGCCCGGCTCTCTCCTGAGCATCAACGCCGTCGAGGGCTACCCTCTCGAGGACTTCTCCGCCGAGGCCGTCCGCACCCAGATCGCCGAGGCCCAGAAGGTCGCCAACGGCAGCGGAAGCGAGCAGGACATTGCCGAGGCCAAGATTGAGCTTGAGGTGGGTTCTCATCGCCGACTCTTTGGTTTGACGCATGCTGACGTTCAGATAGGTTCTCGAGAGCCTGCAGGCGAACCTGAAATAGAGGAGCGTAGTAGGAGGAGCCGTCTAGCAGGAGGCGTTGTACATCACAGTTGCCGATTCCCTAACCGCCGAATTGGCATATACCTTAGGCATCGCGTTGCGTAATTGACCGCTTCTTGCGATGTTTTATGCTGTTGATCTCCCCTTCCGCGAGTGGTTTTTTGGCCGGTTGTGCCTTCCCCCAGTGGCAGCAAGAGGGCCACTGCCTCCTCCTTTCCACTGCGGCTGCGTACGCGACCGTTCATCCTTCCCTGTGCCCTAATATCATCCTTGACAGAATCATTAGCTGCCTTTTGTCCTACTACATGTCTCCTCGCTCCAGCATCCTTTCTTGCGTGTTGCACAGCAGTACTTAGCACCGCTTCCGGACTGACAGCCCCGGCTACAAGGTTTACATTCTAGTTCTTACGGCATCAGCACGCCTGCCGCCATGGAAAGCTGCGACACGGCGTCCACGGCATCGACGGTTCCCCGACCGCCGAGCAGCACGCCGCGCAAGGGTCTCGTGTCTTCTCGCATCCGACACCTTGCTGCGCCGGAGCCCGCAGATCGGGCTCCGTCGCCAGACGAACGAGAACGACAGAACACATGGCTCGGGTAGGGTCGACGAGCTGATGTGACCTTTGCCCAGCCAGCGTCACGGAATCGATATGCGGAAGAGTCAACGCCTCTTGCCCATGACCACGCCTTCCTCGGCCTGCCATCCGGCCAAAAGAATCATGATGAGGATCATGGATTGACCGAGCTGTGGTTCCGCGGGCGCGGCGGTCATCTCGCCCGACACGGCGTGCGAGACCATGATACGCCCTTCATCCACCTCCGTCCGACCGTTTCGACAGGCCGTCTGCGGCCCGGCATGAGCCAGCAGCGGCACCAAGCTCTTCGACCTGCCCTGACGTCTCCGAACCTGCGAGAGGCAGCTACGCTGTACAGGCATGTATCGGGTCAATCCCGCGTGTCCGCAGACAGTGCAATCAGCACGTCGACGATGCGCCGCCAGGATGCTCGGGACATGTTTGACGAGTTTGGGATCGACCTACCAGAGGGCTGGCTGTCGGAAGACGACGACGTGGCCTTTGCAGGCGACGGGACAAAGAGTAAGACCGACCGTGTTCGGGTCTGCCACTCATGCGGTGCGCCAGTCACGACCAACAAGTTTTGTTCTGACTGCGGACATTCTACTTGTTTCAAGTGTACGACCTCGCCAGCGAACGGTAATGCTGACGATGCGACCGTCATTGTTCCTTCGTACGAGGGCCATCCCGAGACATCACAGACGAGGCGGCAGGTGACGTCGAACACAACGCCCACGACGCCGTCCAGCAGACCCCGCACCGAGACAAATCCGAAGACGTCGTCAGACAGTGCTCACATCGCTGTCAAGAATAACCCCTTTGTTATTGCAGATCAGAGAACAAAGGGCAACATCGCTCAGCCAGAGATGACTGGCACTGCAGCGCGGGCACGGAAACCCACGAGGCTGTCCGACTGTGTTCCAAATCAGCAGGGACCCTCTGTCCGCAGACGAGACGTCGGACCAGGACATGGACTAGCTCAGCCTGCGGAAAGTCCGCAGACATACCACACCAGCCACCATGCCTCAACAGCGCAAGGGCCGGGCACCCATGCGGGCCCGATGGCAAAGAGCACGGCACAAGGCGACCCGTTTGTGGATGCCGAGACCGAGGAGCCGCATTGCCAGTCGATGAACTCTCTCGACAAGAAGATTGACCAGCTGTACCATCATGCCGAGGACATGTACCACGCCCAACACATCATGGAGCATCTCGCCGCTGGCTCCGCCGCCATAGAACCCAGGAGAAGCGTCTCAGCTCGCCCGGCCCGGCGGCTCTCCTACTCACCTGCGTCGAGCCGCGAGACGTCGTCGATTTCTCCCTCGGCGCTGCGTCCAGCACCGCACAGCATCAGTACAGACGCCCTCGCCCGGGTCAACACGGTCAAGAAGACGCACACAATGGGAAAAGACCCGCTCTCGCGCATCAGAGAGCAGGAGAGACCTCACGGGCACTCACTCTCTGCCGATGGCAAAGAAGGCAAGAAACCAGGACCGAGCTCGGTCGCCACGCCCAAGGCACGGCTTTCTGATCCACCCGCTTGGCTCTCCAGTCCCGAGAAGCGCGCAGGCGATGCCAGCATGCATCTGAAGAAGACGGACACGAATTTCACGGCGGATGCGAAAACGACAGCCGAGGCATCGCCACACGTCCAGGACACACGCGGACCCCCGAAAACGCCGCCACATACTGCCGACACCGCTGTCGGCGCGGAAACCTGGCCGAGACTCAAGCCGGTCGTCAAGAAGACGCCCATCGTGGAAGAGCAGCAGAGGCACTCGGTGCTGTGGAATCACGTACCGCTACGGCAATTGACAAAGACCGACACCCTCGCGTCCAAGGCGGCCGAGCCCGCGTCGGCACCATCGTTTCGGCACCACCAGCTGCGCAAGGTGACATACCCCGAGGCGGCGGATCTACAGACGAAGCGAGCTGCCGCTTCGGTTGGGATGGCCAAACCAGACTGCACGACATGCTCTTTCACGGGCGCCGCCACGGCCGCGACGGCTTCGGAGAGTGATGGTAAGGAGACACCAACGAGGCAGAACGATCCGGACGAGCTCTTCCTGCCCTACAGGCCCACGGCGGGAAGCGGCACAAAGACGTTGACCGTCGCCGAGGTCGAGCAAGTTCTCGCATCCACATCGATCCTGCCCGTGGCTTCCCCGCCTTCGGCACGCCAGGAGGAGATGGAGGTGTACAGCCCGATACCCATCATGCCGCCGAACCACAGCTGTTCCTAGAGGGAGAGGTACCTGGCGCTGACGGCCGAGGTGCGCCATCTCAAGGCTGAAATGTCGTCGCGTGAGGCTGTCAATGACCGGGCCGTGGGTGAGGCCGCAACAAGGGTGGCTGACGCCGGAGTTGAAACGGATGCTCCGCGTAATGGCGATGGAGGCATGGCTGTCGAGGGGCTCACCATTGTTGTGCACATGCTGGGCAAGGATGACTTGGTCGTGAATACGGATCTCAGGGGCGTTGGTGCGTGTGTTGAGTCGTAACTAGAGGGTAGCGCTCATGCGCATTGTTAGCTATGGTAGCATGAGAACGCTTATGACATTCCTGACTGAAGCATTGTGAAGTGACGCGCCTAACCGAAAGCAGTAGGCGTCATCAACAAGATCGAAGAGCAGCACGTACGACGTGTTTACCAGGAGCTGAGAAGAAAGACGTAGCTGGGGAAGAACCCAGCCTCGAGGACACCACATAGAACACAATATCCGGGGACGTGGGCGAGGCCCAGGGAGCAGCCCCGTGTCTTCTTCCCATGTTTGCTCCATCGTCTTGGTGGACGAGTGAGCCAGCACTCTGTCATACTTCCAAGATCGCCCCAGTTCAAAGGTGGAACACACACATCCCCATTGACTTCACGTGTCTTCTGACGGCCAATCAGAAGTGATGGAGCCATGTCTCCATGCACTCATGCCTGAGGCCACAATAGTTTGCCCAAGGTCTAGGAATCATGTTCATGCTTTATGTATTATCTTTTGCGCCATTTTCCCAACAACAACCAGCCCAAGGGGTCTGATGGCGAAATGGTATCGCGCTAGATTTCGGCTCTAGCGATTGCGGGTTCGAGTCCCGTTCAGATCTAACTGTTCTTTTTTTGCTTTCTGTTTTAGTGATCTGATGTTTTGGTGATCTGATGTTTTGGTGATCTGATGTTTTGGTGATCTTTGAGGCGACCGACGTCCCCATTCACAGGGGGGTGGCTGATGAACGCCATAGCCCATCACACACAGCTACAACCTCTCGAAAAGCCACACTGGTTCGCGACTACAATTGCAGGGCTCCCTTGAACTTATCATGCCTGGACCCGGCCGCTGCACTGGCTATGGAAATGAGTTCCGGGCCAGGGCCGTCGATAAGAGTTTGCTTTTGCCATTCTTCTGGTTCTCTATGTCTGCGCCCACGTGTGCGGCAAAGTCTGGCCTAGCATTTTCCATGTTCCTGTCTCTCGATGGTCAATGTGGCCACACTCTTCAGCGTGGATTTCCATCCATCGCCCATGCAAGGCCCATTCACTATGAAACGTGTGCTCCTAGAAATGAAGCCATAGCGAAGTTCCCTGTCACGACTTTTGGAACTATAGCTGGGACTCGGTAGATGCCAGGTAGTATTGGTTGTGTTTGGTTGACTGTTAAACGTGTGCCGCTCTCGTCTTCGCGGATCAGTTTGCTTCCATACTATCCCATACGCTGTAAGCGTCGGCTTTGAGTGAACATCCCGCGGTGCCTCGAGGCTCATGGTCAAGAGGCATATGTGACACGAAGCTTAGGGTTCGCTCCAGCGGATGCCTAGGCAGCGATAGCAGCTTCACAAGGTCACAGGGGTCCCACGTAGCTTCTTGAGTCAGGCTTGCACTGGCCTTTTGCCCTTCCCTGCCAACCGACCGAAGTGCCGGCAGTGTGGAAGACCTTTCATTTGCTGGACTGTACCCAATACCCAAGTGCAGACGATCAAAGGCAAGGCGACCAATCTTTCACAATTCCAAATCCAGCTCAATTCATCAAGGCTGCTTTGACTCTTTTGAAGTATGTCCATATGAAGCACTAGTGAGATTTATCTGCGGATGAGACTGCAATATTGGAGACATTGATCAATGGTGACCTGTTGACAAGAAAATGATGATGCCTCAGATTTGGATGCTACGTATGGTCAGGAAGTCTCCATCAAGTCATCGTGTTCGCTTCCACTGCGCTCAACATCGTAGGTCAGCATGTAGTCTGGATATATGTGCTCGATACATTATCGAGTCACTACTGTAGTATGAACGGAGCGTTCCAGTAATCCTTGATGAAAGGAAGTCCAATAGTCACGGAATGATCTTTTGGCCATTCGAGGCAACGTCCCAAGTAGGCTGTTCTGATTCTATCTGTGGAGCAATGTCGTCGAGGGGTTCACCACGTTACCAATGGCCCATTGCATGCTCGCACAAGTTACACAACCACCATTCACCCCAAACTGCCACGGGATTGCTGTTGAAATAAATCGCCGACCCATTGGGCGACCAATCACCCATTGAAGGACCAATCACACATTGAAGGACTAATGCTCGGGCATGGTTGGTGGTCGCCTTTGATACATGATCGTCCAAAGTTGGGAGCGCGCATAGGGGTTCAGCACGACCAGCAGGCCTTGCATCCCAATGGCCGACCAAAACATGTGCATGTCGATCCTTGGAAGCTTAATCGAACCACATTCGTGCATCAGATTTGTGTACTTGTTACCTCCATCGTGCTTACCAACATTGAGGCTATGTATGCACGCGGACCACAATACACATGACGACTGCATCATGTTCCGAGTTGACGCCCTGCGGTCCTGGGAATAGCTCATCAACCAAGGACGTGGTACGCTGAGAATCTGAGTTCGGTGATGATCCCCGAGCACATGCTTAGACGTAGACTTCTTCTCAGCAGTCTGTGACATCTTCTCTGTGGTTAGTTACTTAATGTCAAATTGACCACAATTCAAGGTCTCTCTTTCTTCGAGTTCCAAACCCAACCGCATAGCACCTCCTTCATGATGCATGTCCTGCCATGGGAGTTACCTACCCAAGTTACCTACCGAAGGTAAGGCCAGTGCTTTAGCTGCTCGAGGAAGCAACCGGAGTAACGAGACTTGTCTCCCCGGTGTGGCCCAGTGGTTCGATTCCGAGTTTCCCTGCACACTGTCAAAGACGTGCCAGACCCCGAGACAACGTGGTTCACCTCTCTACGAAGTACGATATATTCTCGTATGGGTTCGAATCACGACTATATCACTTTTGGTCCCCCTCTTCTTATGCATTCTCGATATAGCAATGATATAGCAATACGTTAGAGCTGACTTTGTGGACCATTCCCATTTATCAATCAAGACAAAAGTAGCGAACATCACAAGAAAAACAAATCGCTTTCCCACCTTGCACCGAGGTGAATGCCATGCGCATAACCATGATGTGGCAGCCAACCGAGCCAATATTGGTTCTCAAAATGGGTACTACAGGAAGGGAAGGGGCAAGTTTCAGAACGAGACTTGTGAAGGCACTCCTGCACCACAACGCAGCTGACACTGCCTCAATATGTAACTGCTCCTTCTTTCAGTCTAAAGGACTCTCCGTTGATATCAAATGCCCTGTGCCAGTTCGGGTCATAACTTCCCAACATATGGACTCTACTCCACTGGTGCAAGCGCGCAACAGGGAGACCATAATGCGTTCCTTCCGCTTTTTGTGAAAATGAGGCTACCGTCACTTCCTAATGCTATATGAGGCTATCCTGCCCAGCATATGCCCTCCCCCCCCTTGCCTTCCCTGGTGATACTATTTACTGCATCTCCTCTTCGTCCTGTTGAGATCTCTGTAATACTAAATCAAATCATCCTAAGATCAGATCAAATCAAATCAAATTAAATTAAATCAAATCAAATCTCCCAAGTCAGATCAAATCTCTAAACCATTCATCCTATCTTCAAAATGTCTCTCTCTATGCCCGACGACGACCTCAACGACTACGAGTTCCTCAAGTCGCTCGAGGCTCCCCCCATGGTCGACCCCAATGCCCCCCTCCCCTCCTTCTTCGATGCTCCTGCGAACGGAAT